ATATATATATATATATATATATATATATATATATATATATATATATGCAATGTTAACTTTCATGTGTAGATTTGTACGCGTATTCTAAAGTATTACGCGATAAGGCAAAGTACGCCTTATTTTTATAATATATAAAATAATGAGAAAGAAAAATCCGTAGTATACATATATATGTACCATGTAAATATATATAAATATCAATATATATGTACATAAAAGAACTATATCAAGAAATATAATAATTTACGTCTAATCCGTTGTTGAATCAAACTATTTTTAAATAAAAGTCCTTTTGTGTGTTCTGTGTTCCGACATTCACTGCTAATTCTGAAAATCTATAGTTCATGTTACGTATACTATAGATTTTCAGTGCTAGCAGTGAATATCAGCAGAACATCGGAATATAGTCTTAGTCGATGTGTATGACTAATTTTGCAAAAATAATGTTGAATCTATCACTACTCGATTGTTCTATCACTACCTTAAATCTATCACTACTTCTGTTTGGCTGGTGGCACATAGAAAAACTTATGGCTTCTGCACACAGGACGCGGTAATGCTTACCGCGCGGCGGAAGTCCAATCAATATGTTGTTTTTCCGTAAGAACTAGAAGATTATTACGGAAAGCAGCATATTGATTGGCTGTCGCGCGAACTTCCGCCGCGCGGCAAGCATTATTGCGTCCTATGTGTAGGAACTATTAAAACGTAAGCAGTAAGCAAATTGACCAATCACAGTCATTGATTCTTCTTAAAGTCAAAGAATCAACGACTGTGATTGGTCAATTTGCTTACTGCTTACGTCTTACTACTTAAGTTTTTTTGTGTGTCACGGCCCTTAGTTAGATAACAGTTTCACTTCTCTACTGTCGCGGCACTTCTTATCCTCGATTGGTCGATGTGTACGGTGGCGGCTCGTAGCGGAGACTTCGGAACTAATTTTGCAAAAATAACAGGGGCTCGATTCTTGACGGTATGCGAATGAGATACGTATGCGAAAATGTATAGTTCACGTTACGTATTTTCGCATGCATATCTCATTCGCACACCGTCAAGAATCAGGCCCCGAGTCTAAAGCCAGCGGCATATGGTGCTTGTTTTCGTGCTAGATTGCTTGCTGAATGGAAATACTCTGTACTGATTGTTGCATTTCTGAAGATGTATGGAAATGTACTAATCAAAATAGAGTCTTTCCATCCAGCACGAAACAAACACCGTGTGTAGCTGGCTTTAGACCTGTTATTTTTACAAAATTAATTCCGAAGTCTCCACTACGAACCGCCACCGTACACATCACTAATTGAGGTCGTGATAGATTTAAGATAGTAATAGAACAATTCAGGTGACAGATTCAGCAGTGAGTCAAATACAATTTTACTCTTATATTGGAACATAATGAAAATTTAACAGTCCATGACATGTATACATAAATCATTCCGTTCACAGTGTGGTTAAACAGACACAGTAAATTTAAAGTTTATTAATGAAATATAATAATAAAAAATTAATATAAATATAAATTAAATTTGAAGACATCGACTATCGATACATTGATACAGAATCGATATATAGATCGATTATTGTCCATTCTAGGCTGCGTTCTGAAATGCACTGCCAGTACTGAAAATCTATAATTTATGTTACGTATATTATAGAATTTCAGTACTGGCAGTGAATTTCGGGACGCAGCCCTAGTGATAGTGAATTTCACTCAATACGCAATTGTGGCAAAATGGCTGGCGACCAAATTGTTGACGGTTCACAAAACGGGAATAATGAAAAAATAAACGAAAATGGTGACTTAAATCTCAATTTGAATTTGGAAGATGAATTCGTCGAATTGGTTGACTACATCCCATGCCCAGAATTTCAGTTTTCGGTAGGTTATTTCTATTTTCTTGTTTATATTTCAATAACTTATTGATATTCGCAACAATTTATACAAATTTACATTAATAAACAGATATTGTTTACGACTTTATTACAAAAGAAATTATATTGAATATATGCATTATTTCTGTATAGTTACATTTTTGTATAGGTTATTTCTTTTTATATATTCTTATATGTTCTTATTATATTTATATTTTTCTACAATATACATGTTAATGTAAAACAACTTAGTTTTTTATTAACTTAAAATAGCTCAACATTTCCTGTTACAAAAATTGTAAACGTATTATAAATATAATATAAATTGTGATATATGTATTCTAAGTAATGTACCCGTTATCATTGATATATATATATATATATATATATATGTTAACAAAAGATTGATTAAACTTATAGCTAAAACTTATGTATTTTATATGTTTATGTGACATATTTTGTTTTCATAAGTATTTATATATATACATGATATATAAATCTCTTTAAATTTCAGACATCAGCATGTTATATTTGTAACGGATACTATGGACCATGCTTTGAAGAACCAGTCTGTGCAACTTGTCATGCATTCTTATTTCCAAATGATGTTTTACTACAGGTCCCAATCTTTAGTGAGGTAAATTAATGAATTAATCAATTTATGATTAATCTACAATATGTCGCTATATTAATAATGCTGCTAATATATATAGATGTTAACAGTATAACTTCGTTAATCTTACATACATAAATTTAAAACAGAAAACAGATGATGAAGATTCAGGGAATGATGAGCCAACTGATCTCTACTACAATCATGAAAGGAGGACTAGTCAACAACAGCAGAACTCTCCGCAGAGCATCAACCCTAATATTCCAAATCCTCAGAATTCATCCAATCAGAACGCCAATGCATCCCGCAGATTGTCTGCATATTATCAAAATGTAGTGTCTCAATGCAATTATCACGTATTTGAGAACAATTCGAGCAGCAGTCTCGTCGACAATGCTTTACCAGAGTCTGTGCAGGATGCATCAGCCGATCGTGACAATGTTGCCCTCGATTTGCAGAGTGCGATCTGCCAAATGTCGGATGCGTTCTGCCGGCCTGTAAGGAGCGTCTGCCATCGATATTGTGCCAATGGCCAAAACGACCAGAATGCAGTACATCATGCACAAGATCTGATGGAGGAAGACCTGCAGAGCCCGGAAACTTTTGCACCAAGCGAACACAATCAGAACAATGAGAACGCAGACAACGCATATCAGTGGAATTATAGAGTGTACGATGATGTAGGCGAACCGTCACGGTCATACAACTTGTCGGAAAGACTGGAGATATTATCGAATCATAAGCACATCGAGCACGAGCCCATCAACGAGCCGGGTCTAGTGGAGAGATTGCCGCCCGAGGTGTTACTGGCTATCTTCTTGTACCTCGACGATATCAGCTTGTGGTCCGCAGCGAATGTCTGTAGACGCTGGTGCGGCCTGGTGTCAACGCATGTAACACAATCACAATGGAAACATTACGTGAATGGACGTTGGCCTCTATATAAACCCATCGGTTATATCAAGGACTGGTATAAAGTGTATGATTATTTGGCCTCGTCGGCGCCGTGTCGAACTTGTCTGGCGCACAGCACTTCCTTGCACACAAAACTGAAGGACAGGGACCCGAGACTGGAAGAAAACTCTTGGCGAAAGAACAGGTTGCGTAGCGAATTGAAGAGTCTTAGAATCGATCCACCCGAAGGAATCGAAGCAGTACCACTTGATAAAATGTGTTGTCATTGGCAAGCCACTATCACGGGGCCAGTAGGCAGCCCATACGAGGGTGGACTGTTCTATCTCTACTTAAAAGTACCACTAAGGTATACATAGGTGCACTCTGAGGTGTTCCAAAATAATCCTATTTTCTCTCAACTACAAATATTGTCACTCATATATGCAATCATGACAATAGGTTATAACATAAGGATGTAATTTCTTCATTTTAAGATATAATTCCTTTTTCATTTTTTTTTTTTAGTTATCCTATGTGTCCGCCTGTAGTCAGATTTCTGACAAAAATACTTCACCCAAATGTATCTAGACATGGAGATGTTGGGATAGATTCTATACATCATAACTGGTCGTTAGCTCTCACAATATCCAAGGTTCTCATTAGTGTACAAAGTCTGCTTACAGATCCGTATTGCCAAGTAAGTACTCTGAGATTAATATTTTTGCGGAATAGATATCGAAAACATATTAAATAAATCGTATTTATACGTGTAAACGTATGTATATAAACGTATATGTATATATATATATATATATATATATATATATATATATATATATATAGAGAGAGAGAGAGAGAGAGAGAGAGAGATTCACAAGTAGGCACAGATGTTCGTGCGATGATGTTACATTTTTTATATTGCGTTAGATAACAATTTTACTTTTATCTAAATCCTCTTTAATCGAAGTACAGATAGTAACTACTACTGATAATGTGTCAATATTTACACTTTATATCTATACTGATTAGCATTATTCACATGTCTGTCCTTACCCTATATTTGCATTTATTTATATATAATCTCTTTTTTAAGAATTCATTTCTTTTCCATCAAATTATTAATATAATTAGTGGAATTAATATGGAATTATATACGATATGTTAGGTGTGCATGGAACCAGAACTCGGAGAGATGTATATGAATGATCGCGAAAAATTTGAGGAAGTTGCCAGAGCATGGACATGGAGGTACGCAATGCACGACGTTGTAACACCGCTATAGTGTACCCAACTGTATAAATGGTAATTAATACACCGCTATAGTGTACCCAACTGTATAAATGGTAATTAATACATATAATTAGTGTGTAATTTCTCTAGATAGCTGCATATACACACATCTACACACATGCACACAGATATTACATCAACAAACTATTTAATAAACTGATGGTGACTTGTGATATATTGTGCTAAAATATACTATGAATAAATGTACATTTAGAGATTATTTGTTAATCGCAAATAATGCACTAATAAAACCGATCATTTTGTATCTGAGAATTCATTATGAAATATACACATATCATTATTTCAGACTCCATTTTTTCATTTACAACAGCTAAATTACAATCGTGCAATAAATTCTAAGTAAGAGCAGTTTAATTTCGTCACGCGGCCTGGGTTGGACGCATCGTGTCATCCATCGTGTCATCATACGCACAGCTCTGCCGCCGAACACGCGTCATGAATACTAGCGGCACGAAGCTTCCATATCGGCGTCGGCTACTTCAAAACGCTCATACAATGTCATTTATCGTATCCACTTTTAATATAAAGTGATAATTCATAAAATTTTGTATTAAAAGTGAACAAACTATTGCTTATCAATTATATCCATTAGTTCTTGACAATATAGAAAAAGTATACAAGAAAGCCATTATAATAGAGTTTTGTTCTAAACATTCATTTAGCGGGAAAGCAATATTGTGATGTTTGATAACGAAAGGATTATATAAAGTTGAATGAACATTTTGAATTACGCGTGAACCAGGAATAGTAGGCTTGCATTAAAAATTCTTTTATTTCTTTCTTCAATTTTATTCGGAATTGATGAATATTAAATATAAAAGTTGTCAAAATATTTCCAAAAAATGACAAGTACTCATGTTTGAGAAAAACGCGAATTATGGCTCCTGACCCCTCACATTATTTATCTCTTTTTAATGACGTCAAAAACGAGAAAATGCATATTAAAAATTCTTGCAAAATACGTTAAAATAAAAATATATATCCGTAAAGTAACACTTGCAATCGATTACACAAATTTGTAAGATTTGTAAGATTTTCCGTGCACTCCCCTTTTACTCTAATCAATCAATAATTTGTCGTAAATACAATCAATAATTTGTCATAAATTAACGTGACATACAATTCATCTTCTTAACCTGTTTCTTCGCTCATTTTTATTCAGGTTAATTTACAATAAATTATTAATTGTTAAAGCAAAAAGGGAGTACACAGGATATCTTACAAATTTATTTTTAACAACTGTAAGTGTTACTTTACAGATATATATTTTTACTATAAGTGTTACTTTACAGATATATATTTTTATTTTAATATATTTTGCAAAAATTTTTAACATGCATTTTCTCGCTTCTAACGTCATTAAAAAGAGATAGACAATGCGAAAGAAGCCGTATCCAGTTTCATTTATTGATGAATCGACATAACATTCTTGAATATCAATTCAGTGAAATTTTATCGGTATTAATTCTTGGTATCGTACTACATCTCCGATGTCACGAAATAGCAATTAAACATTTTCTTCGCTAAGTTATTCACATATTTTGTCTATGGTCACGTAACATGACACGGGTTACCTGTTTGGTTACGTAGCTTGTATAATGTAAGCACAGATCACATTACTGGAGTCTTGCCGAATAATATTACAGTGCGACTGTACTAAGCGAACGTTAAACTTTCGAACAAAAACGGAAGAAGGCGAAAGAATAAATAAATAGATGAATTTGAATCTTTTTCTGTTTTTAATTCATGACAAATATTGAAACATAGAAATGCGACGACAGCATTAGATCGTTAAGCAAAATAAAATTTTAGATATCAAGTAAATGGAGGAAAGATAAGCGAAGAGGTATAATAAAAAAATAATTTAATTATTTTTATAAAGCGCATGTAGAAATAATAGATAAAACCGTAAAGTTTATCATTTGTTCCAAATGACAGAGACTTCTATTTTATCTCATAATGTAAGATAAAAAAAATTTGTAAGAAATTGTGAAACATTTTTTTCCTTCAAAACAACAGACATTAATGTAACAGTTATTGGAATTTGAAGTTATTGGCAGAAGAATTAGAAGTAAAGAAACACAGGTGTACAGGCGTCGATCTCATTGAACAAGAAATTCCAGAAATAGGCCGTTGTTGCATTAGAAGATCCTTTATAAATTCCAATTTCAAAAAACTGATAGAACGACGAGTCATATATCGACGATAGAAAGCAAGAGAAGTGTGTATGTTGATAAATGGAAAAAAGAGTGCCATTTCACCCTTGGTGAATTTACAAGGGCCGCTATCGACGCCGCCGATCTCGCGCGACAGAGTTACGTCTCGCTATGCGTTTGAATAATTAATTCGTTGTCTGCGCGCATACGTATGTATGTGTATATCGACAACGCGGCGCATTATCGTCGTTCGTATCGGATTACGAGATTACCACTTCAAGATTATGTACGCTTATTCAGTATGCTTAAGATAGTCAGACAATCGACGAGGACCGACGAGTTTTTTAAATTGCAAAGTAAGCAGGGTCGCTAGCATATCGGGAGTCTTCTCGCTTAGAGCACTCCATCTTTTAGAGAAAGGTGTCATTTGTTATTTATTATAGATATTCTCTCTCACATTTGATTCCTTGCAGAAACTGCAGACACAACGCATGCGTTGCCATCCTGAGACAACATTCAATGAAGATAATCACGTTGACACTGTCAAACATTATTATCCTTCCAGCATTTAGCAAATAATCGCTCCAACATCAGTATTCGACTCTTAATTGTCTAAAATATGTTTAACATAAGTTGTATATTTCAAATAAAATTGTGAAGATAATGAAAGAAACTGGCGAATCTTTAAATTGCAACAATAATTTGCTAATACATCGACAGTCTTTGATATTGAAAAAGGATTCTTTTGCCGGAGAAATAAGTCTCCCGGAGAAGAGTAGCACGCTCGCTATTTTTGTTGTCGTTGTCAGAACGGAAACCGTGTACATCGGTACATAAATACGTGATACGTTGCTAGAGCGAAGAGATATGTTAAGCGGACAGACGAATAAACGGACGGGCGTATAAAACGTCGAGCATCGAATGGATCGATATACAGTCTCGATAAAAGGAGACACGGCGATCAGCCGGGCCGGCCGAGGAAGAGAACGACGGAGAAGCAGAGAAGAAGAAGAAGAAGGAGGAACAGAACGGAGAGAGTGCACGCAGAAGAGAGAAGTCGCCGCGATTTTAGATCCTATGATAGGTGGCACGAGATATCGCGAGACCGCTCGTCCGCGTCTTCGACGCCGTGACCAGGCATACATAATCGGCTGGTAACCGTTTACGTGACACGACAGGACGGGACCGAGCCAGGCTGATCGCGGCGCGACGCGACAAGAGGAACGTGGCGTGACGCGCCGTGAGATTCGAAAAAACGCGCATTTCGATAAATTCGATCGGTCGATAGGCGAAACCGAACGCGGCCGGCGATCCGGCAGCGTATATAAACCGTGGAAGGACCTCTCGTGCATTTCAGTTGCCCGAAAACTCATACGGACCGACGGACCTCTTTTTCCATGGCAACGCGCTAATTCTATCCCGGCCCTTTTCCCTCCTCATCCGCCAAGGCCTAATCTTCTCTCTTTTCGTTCTGCCCTTGCTCGCTCTTGCCCTACCCGGTCGGTCTCGCGCGCGTTCACCGTGCACCTCTCGGGAGCGGCTACGATCGCGGGTATATTCGCCGATCCATCGGTGTTCTCCAGTCCACGTCGCTCGTCCCTATCCCTCCGGCTGTAGGTCTCCTCGTATAAGCATATACGCACACGCACGTGCGCTACATACTAACTAACTATATCGCGCGCTCTCCTTCTCGCTCTTTTGTTTTATCTCTCTCTCTTTCCTTCGTCCTCTTGCTCTCCCTCTTGTTCATCACGCTCTCGTCCTTGTCCTGTCCTGTCCTGTCCTCGTCGAGAGTCCTCCTAGCCCTTTTTTGTACCGTTCCCGGCGAAGGCTTGCGCGCGTCTTCTTCTTCGCCGGTAGCTTCTTCTCCCCTCTTCCCTTTCGGTCTTCACCCTTCCTCCCGTCGCGTTCTTACTCCTTCTTTCTTTTTCTTTCCCTCTTTTTAACCCTGTCTCTGACTTCTCTCGTCGCAGCTCCTTCCTCGCCGTTTTGTTTTGCACGCGCTCCACAATCTCGTTCCACGTTTATCTCGCGCGCTCGTTTTACGCGCGAGCCCTTGCCGTACACACGCAGACGAGCGAGGACTCGCGAGGTGCCTCCACCTGTCGAGGCAGAGGCATCGGCAAAGAGAGACATCGAGAAAGAGCCACCGGAAGAAGAAGACGACAATGTTCGGATGGTACGTCGGAATCACGGCCACCCTGCTGGCCCTTCTCATCTACGTGGCGTACTTCTTCAAATTGAACTGGGTCAAAGTGAGTAGTATAGTAGTCTCGTATGACTTTAGGCAGAGCTTGAGTAACGCCTCTTTCCTGGGCTACGTTAAATTAACGCTAATCACATCTAGCTAGATTGTCTGTGACGATCGCTTAGCACCTGCCAATAGTGAATAAATTCTTTAGTTGATGACGTATTTGGAGACTGGACTGATTAATTCGTACTTTGTCGGCAAATCTCGATCTAGTGAGTGATTGATTTCGTTTCGTAAATACGAAACTTGCCCTACCATCATCTCGCATTAAAAACGCAGGTTGAAAAGTAAATTTGAGGATCTCCTTGATTTCTGTTTAGGTGTTTCTGTTTTCAAGTTTATACAGCACCTAAAAGTCTCTTCAATATTTATGTTAAAGGACATGAGAGATCGGAGCAAGTCGCAAAGGAACGGTGGCCCCAAAAATCGAAAAGTAGGGAGGATACCGCCGGTTTATCCCAACGGATGGTTCGCCCTGCTTGAAAGTTCGCAGATTAAAAAAGGTCAGGTGAAGCACGTGTCCGCTCTTGGCGAGAATTTCGCAGTATTCAGGTACGTTAAGTTGCAGAACTTTCTTTCATGGGCAGAATAAAGCTTCGACGACGCTGTCGCAATCCAAAAGAATCGTATAGGAAAAAATGTAACGAACAGTAAAAAGTAGAAACATAAAACAACTAAAGCACGAAACGAAAACATTTTGGCGAACGAGCGTTTTTCCTCAGTGGCCGTATAAATTATACGTTTAATCCATTTTAATTTTAAACGTTTCACATGTACGTCTCACATATATGAGATAATTACGACATATACTTCACTTTAAAAAATGTCGCCGCACGTTATTCGCTCATGACGGTTTTCGGAAGTCAAGTTTGCGCGTCTCGTATATCTTTTGTCATTTCAATCTATATGATTTCCAGTTCATATGCAAAGCGTTTCACCTGAAGTTCCGAAATTGCATACCTTGAAACGTGTTACAAAAATGTAATACGATAAAAATATAATACGAGGACGAGTATGTCGGTTTTGATCGAAACACTGATCATTAATCTTTTTGTAATGATAACTTCTTTCGTTCTGACAACTTTCAAAAATATGTGATTTCGATACTTGAGACAAAATGTCCTGTATATCTTAATTATATAATATTCTAACAATTTTTTCAAGGACCGAAAAGGGCATTGTCAACATTTTAGACGCGTACTGTCCGCACTTAGGGGCAAACATGGGCGAGGGTGGGCGCGTGAAAGGAGATTGCCTGGAATGTCCATTTCATAGTTGGTTGTTCCGTGGAGAAGATGGTTACTGCGATAGCATACCTTATGCAGAAAAGGGTACTGATTAAGTCTCTCGTATATATTCTCGTCGCACAGCAATATTTACCCTTTCAGTCACAGAGCTTGCTACCTTGAACGGAATGAGCAGTGTTTTTGCACCCTAAAACTACATTCCTGCATCCGTGATAGCTGTTTGTGCCTTTAAAACACTTGTCGATCGCATATGGCACAAATATTTGGATCCAAGATCAACCGTTTTCCGCAGATTGTAGTTCGACAAGTCGCATTTGTTAATCGGTTATTTATTACCCATTATCTTTTTTTTGCACATCAAAAACGTATTCCTTTTAATAAGCAGCTTCTTGGAATTGAAAAAATTAATTAATTAATGTATATAATCAATAGTTATCAAGAATATGTTTTAATCATAAATCGACGACTCATTCGCGAATGTTGTTGGATGTAATGTGATTCTCTTTTTCGTTACGCAATATTTTATCCCCCTTTGTACAATAATTTCTACATATTACATAAAGTTGAAATGCGTAAACCTCGAGCGAGTTATGCACTGTACTAAAAATTAATTAAGTGATACATTGAGAAAAATGTATCTCTGTGTGTATAGGATAAAAGTTTATTTCACGAACATAAGTTTTATTTCATAGAAATAAACTTTATATGTCCTAAATAAATTTTCAAATATCTTTTCTCAGTGTAGAGGACTACTCAATTTGAGATTACTACGAATGCTAATTCTTTTTAGTTTACGATGATATAATGAAATTAACACAATAAAATAACGATGTAATATTACAAACTAGTAACATCGTATTATGTGTGTGTAGATGTGGAGTCTTGAAGAAAATGTATTATTCACTCACACATTATGTTAGAACAAAAGACGACTAGTTACGATTCCATTTAGTCACTCGCATATGTGGTGTATTTATTTTTCTATTTTATACGTGCACAGTGCCACATATCGCGCGAACGAAAGCATGGAAATGCTGCGAGGTGAACCAACTTATCTTCGTCTGGTACCATGCTGAGTCCGCCGAACCTGACTGGCGACCGCAGCCGCAGATGTGCATCGCCAACAAGACATGGCGTTTCCAAGGCCGCAATGAATTCCTAATAACATGTCATATACAAGTATGTCGATTGCGATTCTTTAATATGATGAGCGCTCTTCCGTCACACCATCGATGTAATTATCATGGAAACTAGAATCAAGGATACATCGATCGTGCCGCCCGATTGCCCGACGAGGCAACCAATCTTTTTCTGTCGATTCTGGCCTTCGTTTCAAATTGCATTCGCGAGGGATATTCGCAAACCGTTCCTCCCAGGGACCCTGATAAAACTTGGTAAATCTGTGGACTAACTAAAAATAATTCTAAAGTATTCCTCTCTCTGATGTCGACTATTTTCCAATTTAAGAGTTGAGACCACCCCGTCGCCTAAGATGCACTTATCTGCAATTCCTAAAATTTATTTTTACTTTATACCTATTTATTATTACGAATAATTCATTACGGTTGTAAAACTTTTACAGTAAAAATCTTTTTTGCTTTATTGCTTATTATTTTTGGTTATTATTTTTGATGTAGCATTGTACTGTGATTTTACATGAGGGATAGTTTCATGTTTGATTTATCAGAGAGAACGAAATATTATTTTAGTTTGCTCCATATGTGCACCATGATTTCATCACGATTAGGAGAGGAACAATTGACAAATATCCTCTGTCAATATCTCAATGCTAACTTCCATCTCGTCTCGATTACGTGCTGATGTGACTTTACATTTTCCCAGACTGCTATTACGCTGTCGTACACGGTGTCAGTTGCATCGACCGCATCATAACTAGCAGTTACTAATTCGGTCACGGCATAACTGCAATGGATATTGGCCTCCTTGATTGCAGCCTCCATGATGAATATGACGGAAAGCTATCCAATCGTCCTTTCAGATTTTCGCACGTGAAGGTAAAGCAAAGCCGAAGCGTACTCATTACTTCCTAAGGAACTTGAATAGCGACGCGAAATACACGAGAGACATGAAGATCAGCTTGATAAATTGACAAACTGAAAAATGTAACTTGCATACAACTTTGTATACGATAAAATTTCCAATCGCACAATTTACAAATCAACTAGCCGCTCTTGTGAACTGATCTGGGGGACCAAAAATACGTGCTTCTTCATTCTACGGAAAACACAATCCCGTTATTGTAACTAAATTTTCTATTAAGAACCTGGGAACCAGACGAAAACTCGGTTATAGGAACAGGAAAGTTCCTGTAGGAGGCTTCTACTCAGCCAATTATTCTTAATCTTAATTTGAATATTCAAACGAATGTTTTCGGTCACGATAACAGAAATATTATTCCCTCTTTTTCATCTCTATTCAGTTACACGAATTAAAAGATTTTTTTCGTGTACAAGCAACCCTAGACCTTGACAAATTATATTTCCTAATACTCATCGATGCGTTGCATAGGATATAGCTGAGAATGGAGCCGATTACGCGCATCTCAGCGCGGTACACGGCCCGGCGATGTTTCTCAGCGACAATATCCCCTGGCTGGCTCGACACTCGTGGACGAATGCGATGTGGCAGCCACAATGCTCGTACAAGTCCTCGGAAATAGACGCTGACATGGACACGGAGGCGGATACGGAGGTGCAGATCAAGCTGAATAACTCATCGATCCACTCGATCTCGGACAGTGACTCCGGAAATCACTTGGAGATCACTGAAAACATCAGCAAGAGAGCAAAGCACAAGGCCGGTATGCAGTTGCATCACAGTCTAATCTTGTTCGAGCGGTTCACTCTGCTCGGCTTAAATGTAAACGTCGAGCAGATTGGCCCTGGCTACGTCGAGCTAATGATCAACACGTCTTTCGGACCTTTATGCATATTGCAAACGGTCACGCCGCTGGAGCCGCTGCTGCAACGAGTCACTCATCAGATATTCTCGCCGCCATCGTTGGCACCCTACGCCAGCTTGGTGTTCCTGGGTGAGTGTCTGATGTTTGAGCGGGATATAGCGATATGGAACCACAAAAAATACGAACGACAGCCGACCCTGGTGCGCGAGGACCGCACAATACTGGCATACCGTCGCTGGTACTCGCAGTTCTACTCAGCCAATAGTGCGACCTATCAAACGGCTATGAATAATTTACAGTGGTAGTAATATCGTGTGCGTCGCGTACATACATACATATATGATTTTATCTCATAACCGCAATACCGCGGCTACATGAAGAACATATTCATCTGTCCGCTCCAATCCGCAATTGTAAAACTATTATTTAAAATGAATGTTGACAAAAGAACATTCAATAATTTGTAAGCCAATGTAAAGAACATCTCTTTTTATAAGCATGTAAATATTGCTTAAGAGATAAAATTTCTATTAATTCTTTATTTTCTACCAATAATTATAGCTATTTTTCTTCATACTAAGTATCCGTCCATGTTTAATTACATCCACATGAAAAAATTTGACGGAAAAGACAGGAAGAAAGGGCGTATATATATATTTCCTTATTGTGATACATACAATATCGGGTAAAACGCATTGAAACAAAAATTCTCATTACTTTAAATCAACATTAATCACTATTTAGACGGTATATGTGAAGATTAGATTTTTTCGCTCGAGCTCTCTTATCATACTATTTCTTCTAAAAAATGCTTATATTCATAAAGCTTTCTCTTTTTGTAAAGATAAGATAAAAATACTTAAATATCAAATTTAATTTCAAACTACATGTGAACTACTAGTTAACATAAATAGAATATATATTACGATAACATTTACGCGTGCATATATGTTTATGTAAAACGTATATGATTTTTTTAACTAATTCTAACATGTGTTTTCTAATGGTTAAAGATTACTTGTAAACCTATAGTAATTCGCTTACAAACTCGACCTCGTTTATTTAACTACGTTATGGTTTCCTGAGATAGATAAGAAAAACGCGATTTACATATAACACTGGCTAAATATTTTAACACACCAAGTGCCATTTTGCTTAACGTTTACGTCACATCCTACCGTCAAATAGATAAAGCCGCGATACACAAACAATAAACAAAAGATAAGAAAACGAGAAGCGATTGGACGACTAAATTAACGACTATCGTTCAATTACCGGGACGGTTAAAGAATCGTCAGTTATACACATAGTACAGTTTCGTTCTCTAAAGTAGATCTACCAAAATAGAAAATCTAGGGCCAATCCGTAGGGACCGGTGTGTCTTAACGTGTTAACTAGTAATAATAAAATAATTCTCATAATTCTTTATCTTTCGTATTTTTTTTTCTCTAAACTTTTCGACAATATTCCTAGCTATAAATATTCTTTATAGCTAGGAATATTGTCGAAAAGTTTAGAGAAAAAAATACGAAAGATAAAGAATTACGGGAATTATTTTATTATTACTAGTTAACACGTTAACTTACCACGTTACTCTTAACACGTTAAGACTTAACACACCGGTCCCTACGGATTGGTCTTAGACTTTCCATTTTGGTAGATATTATAAAGAATATTTATAGCTATATAAAGTACGCATTATTACTCGCCAATATTCCTAACTAGAAAGAGGCTTAAAATGAACCCATAATCTGCCTACGGGTGATGTCAGAAATCTACCGGGCAAAAACTTAAAAGGCTCCTTCGGCGTTTTCGACGATACCTCCAGAGTGTAATTCTTCATGATCACGGCCAAGTAAGCCTTCGATTGTAACAGAGCCAATCTCATGGCCACGCAGATTCTCTGTCCCTCACCGAACGGCAGGAAGGTGTATTTGTTGATTTTTGTCTTCTTATCGAATCGGTCGGGGTCGAAGACGTCTGGATTGGGCCAATACTTCGGGTTCTTGTGCATTTCGTGGACATTTATGAAGATTATTGTTCCTGGATGTACGCGGCAACTAAGCCCATCCGAACCCTTTAGCTCGAACTCCTCGGTGCAGATCTTAGCCAAGCAAGACGCCGTAGAATATACTCTTTGCGACTCCTTCAACACCTGGTCCAAGTACGTCATTTCCTTCAAAGCGTCGTAGGTCAACCGGCCGTCGTATTTTTCGAGCACACTCTTCACTTCGTCACGAAGCTTCTGCTGGACATGCGGATGACGGGCAATTTGATAAACCACAAAGCTTAGTGACACATTCGACGTATCACTGATATTGACAAAAAGGGTGAAAACATAAGCAGCGATCAAATCTTCTTCGATTTCTTTGTTTTTTTTCATATTCAACATTAGCTGCAAAAAGTCCAATCTATGTGCACTCTGCTCTTGTTGCCGAATGTCTATTATTTCCTTTACGGTGGTAGAAAAGAAATGATTTACTTTTTTGGGTATAAATGACATTCGCAAAAGTCTTTTCAGATCATAAAAATAGAAATTGAAAGACTGCATAATTCGGGAATAAAGAGACGGACCGAATACCTTCTCGGCAACGTTGGCAAACAATACCGACTGTGATTCGTGTTCGTAAGATATATTTTGTTCCACACTGAAACTGATCAAAGACGCTACTGACGTAGTATAGCTGCTGGCCAGTTTATTTAAATCAAGTTCTATCACATTATTATTCTTCCTCAGCTTATCGTTCAGGAAATTTTCAAGCTTCTTGCACACCTGCTCAATGCAGTTAAAGTAAGTTTTTAAGTACCTGCTAGTAAATGCAAGACTGAAAAATCTTCTGGATATCAGCCATGTATCGCCGTAGGTAAAAAATGGATTCACTCTCAGCAGACGATCCAGGTGAGGATCAACATTCCATAAGTTCTTAGAAAAACTTGCGAAGTTTGTCTGCAGGACTGTCTTTATCAATTCTGGCTCGCGAATCACTAACGCGGGTGTTGTCTGATAGTAGAAACCTACCATACTTTGATTCGGATAACCACTGCAGATCTGTTTAATAAGATCAGCTAGAGTAATTCGCATTAAAAGCAATGACCACACATGTCCGAATCCTGGAAGTATGCCTTTTGCGAATGGAATATTTCGATTTCGCCAATAATTATAGTTTTTGGTCAAATAAAAGTAAGACGCCGCTAGGCCTCCAAGAATGAAGATGAAAAGTATAATCACCATAATGGCTGTATATGGTGCAAAGCTACATATGGTGCAAAGCAACGTAAGATCAACGATACTCTTCAGACCGTTAACTACTAACTAATTTATATATATGAGCGTGTATATATACCTTCTTTTTATCAAAAATATAAATTAACGTCATTCTGTTTTATCAACTTTGTTTGATAACAGCGTTCAAGTCATGGATGTAGGAATATAAGGATAGAGCGTAAGCTGAGTTTATGAGGTAAGGGGAATGAAGCCGATTTGAGGAACGAGGTATCTCTAAAACTGTGCTTGAATTTGATTGGTTGAGTTGTACTCATGCGTAGTACTGCCAAACAAAGTATAAACGAAGTATTAAGGGGATGCTGGAGTAAATGACGAACTCGCTAAGCGTCGATAACGTAGAGGCGATCGTCAAATACTCTTATAGAAATATCATACTAAGAAATACTGAAAAATTATTAATGATTAAATATTACTAGTAATTCAGTAATTTTTTGACCAGTACTTAATTTCTGGTGAATACTAATAATAAAATCACTGTTAAATATTGATAGTAATCAAATACTGAGAATTATTATGCAAAGGTGAAAAATGAGAAAATCATGTTTACAAAAATATATTTATATTCTTAATTTTCTCATGTCTCATAAACTACTAGATATCGAAGGTTGTCAACACATTCCAAACTTTCATGAATCCTCCTGCGATAATTTCGATCCTAAGCGGTATATCGCTGACACCCATCCATGACCGCATTAAACTGTTGCTTAACCTCGACGATCGAGCGCGCACGCGGTGACTCTGATGACTCCAACGATATACAGGTTTCACGGAGCAAACAAGAACGTCGGATTTTTTCTAGAAAGGAATATTATTATCATGATACGTAAATAAGCAGTCTACTATAAGCTTACTTTATTAGTCTTGCTGATTTTATTATTGATTTATTTTTTATTATATTGATTACACCTATGTATGGTTAACATAGTTGCAATCGAGTTTTATATAATGTCAAATACGTCTCAAATAAAGCCATATTCCGCCAACAGGTGCCGTCATGAAGCTGCCAGGCTGCATTCTAAGGGGCTCTTGGATCTTCGGCGATACCTCCAGGATATACTTTCTTATAACAGTTGCCAAGCAAGCCTTTAACTGCAACAATGCCATTCTCATGCCCACGCAGACTCTCGGGCCTGCGCTAAACGGCAAGAAAGTGAACTTCGTGATTTCAGACTTTCTATCCGCGGAAAATTGATCGGGATCGTAAACATCTGCATCGGGCCAGTATTTTGGGTCTTTGTGCAATCCAAAGATAGAGATAATAATTTGTGTTCCCGGTTTTACACGGCAGCACAACCCATCCGAGCCTTTTAATTCGAACTCCTTGGTACAGATTTTAGCAATGGTACCACTCGTAGTATAGTGTCTTTGCGACTCGCTGATCACTTGATCCATATACGTCATCTCTTTTAGCGAATCGTAAGTCAATTGGCCATCGTATTTATCAAATACGGTCTCCACTTCGTCGCGAAGTCGCTGCTGGATGTGCGGATGTCGGGCAAGCTGATAAGCGACGAAGCTCAAAGTAATGCTGGACGTATCGTAACCGTCGGAAAAAAAGGTGAAAGCATGGGCAGTGAGGAAATCCTCGTCGATCTGCTTGCCTTCGCTCTTCGTCAGGTCTAGCATTAACTGCAAAAAGTTGTTTTTATGCTCAATTTCCTGTTGCCTGACGTGTAGCACCTCCTTCACAATTCTGCGGAAGAAATAATCCACCTGCTTAGGCACAAACGGTATCTTCAGGATCTTATTGAACTCAGGCAAGAAGAAGTTGAAAGTTTGTGCGATTTTGCTAAGAGGCGTCGGATCGAATATCAATTTTCCCATCGTGACGAACGACGTCGGGTGATTTTCGTCAAAACAGAAACCCTCAACGCCGAAGACCGCCTTGGCTACCACCTCGCCGGTATATTTGCAAAATAGATTCCTCATCTCAAGCTCTATTATGCCGTTGCTTTTGCTCATCTTTCTGTCCAGGTAGTCATCGAACTTTTTACAACCCTGCTCGACGCAACTGTACATCAGTTTTAGCCGTTTGCTGGTGAACGCGAGAGACAAACGTTTCCGAGATATAAACCACAATTCGCCGGTGGCAAAAAAGGGATTCACCGCAAAAAGAGGGTCGAGCTGAGGGTCCACTTTCACTAGATTCTCGGAAAAACTGTCAAAATTCGATTCCATCACTATTTTCACCAATTCTGGGTCACGTATTACCAATGCGGGCTGCGTTTTGTTGTAAATACCGACCATGCTGTGTTGCGGATGATCCTTATAAATCTGTTGAATGAAATCGGAGAAGCTCATCTTCAAAGACACGACCGGCCACATGTGGCCAAGCCCAAGAAGCAGGCCCTTCGCGCATGGAATGCCCTGATTGCGCCAATAATTGTAATTCCTGACCAAATAAAAGTAACATGCTGCGAAGAGTCCTCCGAAAAGCAAGGAAATGAGCACAACAATCATTATAACTCACTTTAGAATAGAAACCCCAATTAATCTAGTCTTACAAACTTATCAACATTGACTGATGAATATAATGTTTTATACATCTCTTAAGAATCAAAATTAATAAAAAATATCTCTATCACACGTTATCATGCTTTGATATATTTTCAGATATTGGCACTTTTATTCGAGTGTATATAGTATAAATTGTCTTGTAATTTTCCAGTCGCGAGATAGTAAATTTATCTGTAATCTCGCTACTAGCTAGGTTTCTCCTAAGTAGTAGTCAGTTAATAATATATTAAATTGTTTTGTCTTTACATAAAAATATTTATTTAATAGGCTTTTAAGGATGTTTTGTTTAATGACATAGTGTGGTGTAATTCTACTATACTATTAACTCGCTTATTTCACATTTAATTTCT